TTCTGAAGAAGGGTCTAGGCCCGAAACGTCAGCCTTCCTGCTCCTATGATGCTGCTTGGCCTGCTGTGTTCATCCAGCTCTGCACCTTGTTGTCTCGGATTCTCCAGCATCTGCAGTTCCTACTATCTCTGAGTAGGAATTAAAGGGTGTTTCCAAGATTGCTGGGTGACAAGAGGTGTCCTGGAGGGCTTTGTGCACCACATGGATACATAATCTGTCTTTAATGAGTCAGTGCCCTCCTTACCGTTCACTTTTCCTTAATGTATTTGTAAACTATATTTATAGTATCTTTTGTTATTGACTTCAATATCCTTTTTTTCATACTCCTTTTTTGAACTTTATATTGTTTCATTTGTTGTTTGACATCACCCTCCCAGTTTGATGGATTTCCACTTTTCCTTTTCTATTAACTTCACTTACGAAACCACCATGGTTGCCAACAAAAGCTGTGCCTTTGTCTTTTGCTTTTCTAATTTGCTACTGGTTATGTATTGAATGAAATACTTAATTGAAAACTTCCTGCTATTTTGGGGATCATTTTGACTTTTCTGTCACAGTTAAACAGGATGGTAGGGAATCAGTAGCTTGTTTTGCATTTTCCCCTATTAAAGTCATTGGAAATAAAAGTCAGAAGGCATACAAAAGAGATTTTTCATTCTCTACCATCCATTTCACACTGATAGATAAAGATAATTTGGTCTGCTTGTCTATAGGAGTATCTCTTATCAGATGGAGGGTGAAAGGTATAAAATCAACACCAGTGTCTTGTGCTCAAACAAAGGAGACTACAATGGGATGAGGGAGGAGTTGGCTATGGTAGACTGGGAGCAAAAGCTATATGGTGGGACGTTTGAAGAACAGAGGACTTTCAAAGCGATTTTTCAGAGTGGTCACCAAAAGTATACACAAGTGAAAAGGAAGGACTGTAGGAAAAGGTATAATCAGCCATGAATAACTAAAGGAGGGTATCAAATTGAAAGCAAATACATACAAGGTGGCAAAGATTAGTGGGAAACTAAGGGAATGGGAAATCTTTAAAGGTTATCAGAAAGCCGTGAAAATAGCTATAAAGAAAGGTAAGATGGATTATGAGAGTAAACTAGCTCAGAATATAAAAACAGACAGCAGACTTTTCCACAAACATATAAACTGAAAAAAAGTGGCTAAAGTCAAAGGATGAGATGGGGGATTTAATAATGCGAAATGAGGAAATGGCGTTGAACAGGTATTTTGTGCTGGTCTTCAGGGTCGAAGACACAAATAACGTGACACTGATTGTTGACAACGAGACTACGGCAGGTGAAGTCCTAGAAATGATCATTATCACTAAAGAGGTAGTGTTGGGCAAGCTAATGGGGCTAAAGATAGACAAGTCTCCTGGCCCTTATGAAATACATTCCAGGGTACTAGAGAGAGATGGCGGGGGAAATAGCAAATGTTTTCGGGGCAATTTACTAAAATTCACTGGACTCTGGGGTGGTTCTGGCAGATTGGAAAACAGCAAATGTGATGCCGCTGTTTAAATAAGGAGGTAGACAAAAGGCGGGTAACTATAGACCCGTTAGTTTAACTTCTGTAGTGGGAAAGTGCTTCAATCTATCATTAAGGAAGAAATAGCAAGACATCTGGGTAGAAATTGTCCCAATGGGCAGACACAACATGGGTTCATGAAAGGTAGGTCATGTTTAACTAACTTACTGGAATTGTTTGAAGACATTACGAGCGCAGTGGACAATGGGGAACCAGTGGATGTGGTGTATCTGGATTTCTAGAAGGCATTCGACAAGGTGCCGCATGAAAGGCTGCTGCATAAAACAAAGGTGCATGGTGTTACAGGTAATATGTTAGCATGAGTAGAAGATTGGTTATGTAACAGAAAGCAAAGAGTGGGGATATATAGGTGTTTTTCTGGTTGGCGATCCGTGACCAGTGGTGTGCCTCAGGGATTAGTGTTGGGACTGCAATTATGTACAATTAACATAGATGATTTATAGTTGGGGACCAAGTATAATGTGTTAAAGTTCATAGATGACACTAAGATGAGTGGTAGAGCAAAGTATGCAGTGAGCACCAAAAGCCTGTGGAGGGATATAGGTAGGTTAAGTAAGTGGGCAAAGGTCTGGCTGATGGAGTACAATGTTGGTAATGAGGCTGTCCATTTTGGGAGGAATAACAGCAAAATGGACTATTATTTAAATGGTGAAAAATTGTAGCTTGCTGCTGTGCAGATGGACCTGGATGTCCTTGTGCACGAATCACAGAAAATTGGTTTGCAGGTGCAGCAGGTAATTAAGAAGCAAATGGAATATTGTCCTTCATTGCTGGAGAGATGGAGTTTTAAAATAGGGAGGTTATGCTGCAGCAGTAAATGGTGCTGGTGAGGCCAGACTTGGAGTACTATGTACAGTTTTGGTCTCCTTACTTGAGAAACGATGTACAAGGTTGATTCTGGAGTTAAGACGGTTGGCTTATGATTAGGCTGGGACTATTGTCATTGGAATTTAGAAGAATGAGGGGTTTCTTTAGAAACATATAAAATTATGACGGGAATAGAGAAGATAGAAGCAGAGATTTTGTTTTCACTGCCAAGTGAAACTGGAACGAAGGGGCATGGCCTCAAAATAAGGGGAGCAGATTTAGGACTGAGTTGAGGAGGAACTTCTTCTCCCAAAGGGTTGTAAATCTGTGGAATTCCCTGCCTAGTGAAGCAATTGAGGCTACCCTGCTGAATATTTTAAGGCAAAGATAGATTTTTGAACTGTAAAGGAATTAAGGGTTATGGTCAGCGGGCGGGTAAGTGGAGCTGAGTCCATGAACAGATCTGCCATGATCTTATTGAATGGCAGAGCAGGCTCGATGGGCTAGATCGCCTGCTGTTGCTCCTATTTCGCATGTTCTTCTGGTCTAACAGTTCAGCACCAGAACTTAGATTAATTCATTCATCTTTCTTTCGAAGTTGTTCATATTAATTCTAAAGATTTGGTTTGTGACTGTTACCTCTGCCGAAGCCTATTTAGTAACTATTCTCAAGATGTTTAGTTCCCATCAAATTGTAATTTAATTCTGGTTAATTACTCATTACTGGTTCCTGTACGGTTTCTGTACTTCTGTAAGTTTTAAAACCTATCGAAAGGTAAATTCATTACAACACATTTTCAAGCATATAACTGATGGTATACTTCCTGTGCTTAAACAGCACGAAAATCCCAAAGATCAATATGGCCTCAGACTTTATCATAATAATTGATTTGAACTTGTCAAATTTGAGCCACTTGCTTCACAGTCAGTGACACAAAAACAAGTTTTGGGATGAATGGAAGAGAATGGAAAAAGAGCTATGTTTGGGGTGGCAGCGACCCAATTCATATATATGAGCATGTATCTTCTGACTAGGTTACTTGTGTGTTGAGCAGAATGGACTTGACAGCTGTTATAGTTTGGTCTGGAAATTTAAGGCAAAAAAAATTGTTCATTCTTTGATGCATTGTTCTCAGCCACAGTTCACTCTTTCCAGGTCAAAGTTGTTATGGATTGCAGTCGCTATGAATCTCATATGCAGGCAGTGAATGGCATAAGGAAATGCTGGCTGCACACAAATCATAGTCACGCTGACAGCTCAACAGGAACAGGCTAATTGTTTTTGCTAATTAGTGGCTGTTTTAGGGAACTAACTAAATTATTTCCAATATATGTTAAGAGTTCCTGCTGCCAGGATCATACTTATTTATGATAACATTTCTCTGCCCTTTTTTTGTTGTTCTGTTGATTAGCTTTTTGAGATGCCAGGTATGTCAGGTTAGCATCAGAAATGGACGGTCTTTTCCTTCCAGACTCTTTGTAATATTTTTCTAAGCGGGAAGTGCCTTGAGATTCTCACCAGATAACTGGATATTTAAGTATGTTTATTACACAAAAATAAAATTACGAGATTTTAATTTTTATTCCCTGAATAATCATACAAGAAAGAAATTTGTAATTTTAGTTTTGGTTTAAATTTAGAACAGAAATTGAAAGCCTTAACTTCAAAGATGTTTGATTTTTGTTCCTTTTAGGTTGTGGAAATTGGAAATTTAATTCCAGTCCCCAATCCGTCAAGTCCCCTCTGGTATTTGTCTGAAAATAGTCCTGTTCTGATACTCGGAGGAATTAATGATCGCAAGGTCGTCCTCTTGTCTACCACTGAATTTGATGATTTTACTATTTTGGAGGTGAAGTACAATTATATTTGAAAGATCAGAATTTCTATTTTGGAAAGCGTATATTACTGTTTATATATATTTAAACAAAAATAGCAATACATAATGGTGAATGTTGACAGTGTTCTAATAATATTGCGCCCATGACTGGCACTATTCCATCCAAAGTTGCATGAACTTAAGTCCTTTATGTAGCTATAAATGAAAGATGACACTAAACCAGTGCATTTTCCAGAGAACAACAATCTTTCTGCTGAAGAGAAATTGTGCTTACCTGAGGTCTCAACAGAAATCAGTCTTCCATTTTGCTCCTGTTTGTGCTTTTGCTGAAGACCCTAGGTTTGGTTGTTGGTGCTAGGAACACTTAAAGCTTTAAGAGGGGTATTTTGTCCTTTTTTCTGTGAAGGAAGGTTGAGACAGAGGCACCGAGAAGTCTGCTCAAAGCCAATAGAGTAAACAGCTTGTGAGGCCTTGGATTTTTTTTAAATTGCAACAAAAGAAGCAGCTTGAATGGGTGAGGTCTAGCTCCGACAGCACCAGGATTTTTAGTTTTAGCTTTCTGCATTTGTGGGGTCTTGAAGTTGGATGTGGAAGCTCTTGTTCCTTTTTCTGGTACAGCTAAAAGTTGGAGTTCCCTTCCTGCTGCTAGAATTGCATGTAAGACTGTCTATTTTGCTGAATTTGCCTTTGCCAAGGGTTTGTTTATGGGATGTTACTATATTGGACAGTTAATTGGTAGTAGTTAATATACATGTTTTTTTAATGATGTGGAGGTGCCGTTGTTGGACTGGGGTGGACAAGGTCAAAAATCAGGTGACACCAAGTTTATAGTCCAACAGGTTTATTTAAAAACACAAGCTTTCATAGCCTCAATCCTTCTTGAGGTGTTAGTGAGAGAGGTAGCATCAGAAACAGAATTTATAAGTAAAAGATCAAAGGTTCACACCATTGAGGATATACTAAACAAACTTAAAATGCTGTTAAACCTTTAATCAGTTAGAAGGTTTTAATGGATTAATATGTATACGTAGATCCCTGAATTCCTTTCAAGTCATGGTCCTGAGAGAACTAGAGGTTTCATCAGCGAAAAGAAGAGGTGACGTTTTAGGTCAGACAATGCATGTTGGGTGTGAGATCTTGTTTAGAATCTGTTTATGTTTTAGTTTGGAGTCAGACTGGTTTTATTTCTGAAGTAGGAATTTATAAAACAACATATTGACTGTCAATAAATTCTGTGCTTTTTGAACAAAGTAAAATGTATCTGCAAATACAAATTCACCCCATAGATTCGCATGCATGTGTGCGAATGTGTGTGTGAGGACGAGAGAGAGTGTGCGTGTGCGAGGGCGAGAGAGAGTGTGCGAGGGCGAATATGCGTGTGGGAGGGTGAGGGAGGGGGTGAGTGTGCGTGTGCATTTGGGAGGGAGAGGGCGAGTGTGCGTGTGGGAGGGC